CAATACATTGAATATTTATTTAAATATTCAAATAAATTTATTCAAAATTTATCAGCATTTTGTAAATTTTTGTTTTGCTTAGGATTTTGTCGAGTAAAATGTCGTAGAAACACATACAAATTAAATTGTATTCTTTGGTAAATAACTTCTCGATAAATGATAAAATTTGTGAATAGCTCTATCTATGTATGTATGTATGTATGTACACAGCAGTGCAGATGTGCTTTTATTTTATTATTGTTCAGTTCACTGCAGACAAAATAAATTTTTATTTAAATCCTTTTAATTTAAGAAATTTTCTTTCTAATTGACCAATTGATTTGTACAATATGTGACCTTTTTGCCTAAATATGTATGTATGTATATATGTAAAAGCATATACTAAATTCAATAGTGTTATCTATGAAATAAAATGTAATAAAAAAAATATCCAAAAAAATGCAAGCTGAATTGAAAATTTTTTAAATACAGAAATAAGTTTTTAAATTCATATATTTATGCACATATATACATATATATACACATAAGTATTTGGTTTGTCTATAAAGGTGCGCATATCTCGAAACATCACCGATCGCTTAAGGGGCACACAAGGTGAAATTCCAAAAAAAAAATATATTTTCGGTAGATTAAACCTTTAAAAATAACATATTCAAATTTCAAATCGATATCTCTAACAGTTTTTGAGTTATTGCAATTTAAAGAGCAGCCGCTCGGCAGCTGGGGAGTCTCATTAGCTACGAGTGAAAACGATCATTTTATCTTTAAACGCGTTTTTCTCGAAACAGCATTTTCCGAATTTGCTGCAGTGATTACTCAAAAACAAATGATCCGATCACTATCGAATTTTTTTACATATTCTATATATAGTTCTCCCTACGATGACCTATCGATTTTTGAACTGATCTGAAATCGGATTTTAGCAGGCCAAAACAACCAAAATTTTGGGTAAAATTCGACTATTTTATTTAACACGCCGCCATATTGTAAATTTTTTATTTTTTTATCGTAAGTCATTGTACAGTCAATATTAACTAGTAGAGAATTTTTTTTTACAGATTTCATCCACGGAGAAGGCCGGAATCACGGCAGCAGTGAAGGACCATTTTTCTCGCGCATATAAACGCATGTATTTCACAACAATAATAAAGCAACCATTGTTGCTTGTTTGCTTGCTCACACTTTGCCAACCCTCAGCATACGTATAATTCGGAACTCACTACGATTTCGTTTATCACATTGTGCTGTCTGCAATTCACAGATGCTTTTTCGGCAATTGGCTGCTATAAATACTTTGTGTTTTTAATGTGATTTGTTCTTGCTTCGGCAGAACATATACTAAAATTGGAACGATACAGAGAAGATTAGCATGGCCCCTGCGCAAGGATGACACGCAAAATCGTGAAGCGTTCCACATTTTTTTGTGAAATTTTACTTGTAAAAAATTACTTACTTCACAAAATGACCCTAGAAATCATCTGTGGCTGCGTATATTCATAAATACAAATATATATGTACATAAGGGTGAATTTATACTTTATATTTTCAGTTTTTTTTACTATTGTTGATTAACGACTCTCAAATAATCCATAAATTTAGGAAGAAAATAAATAAAAAAAAATTCTTTAATTACCAGAACAACAAACGAAGTCTTTTTGTAATATCCGTTCTGAACAAATACTTTTTGCGAACAAAAGATAAATACATATAAATAAAAAATACACATATATGTATGTGTGTGTGCATTTGTGCCTACAAACATATATATTTATGTGCGTATGTATGTTTATTTAGCAGGAAATACCCTGATATGATTGTAGCAATAAGTTTATTACATTTTTATATGGAGGTGTATATACATACATACACATATGTATACATACATATGTATAAACAAATTTTCTTTAATCTTTTAAGATTAATAAAATTTACTAAACAAATACATTTCATTATTTGTGAAAAGACTTGTGTGACTCTCACATATTTGAGTAGTTGTTGTAAATAATGTAACTAACTGTACTTGATAACCAAATAGTAAAAAAAAGCGAATAAACTGAAGTATATATGTAATTTAATTTAAAAAAAAAGTGATTTTCTGCATTTTGAAAACTCATTATTGACAAACTGTATGTATGTATGTATGTATGTATGTATGTATGAGCAAATGTTCGTTAACATACCGTCGCAACGAAAGTATCGTAAAAATAGGCGCACAAATGTACAAAACGTGCACAAATAAACATATACATACATACATACATTCTACAAATACATATGTATGTACAAACATACGCATGTAATTTTGCATGAAATAAACAATTTGGTGTTATTTAAATTTTATGCCGGCATTTGGATATTATGCAAGTACCTACGGCAAAACCATGAATTTTCACAAAATTGTTTTGCTTGTTAATCAAGCAGCTGAATATTTTTATATCTTACCATTTTAGAACGTATTTCTTTTCATTTTTACAAAAGCATTTATACCTAAGTTGTGTGAATATCTCATTCAACCTTTTGGCTGTAGAAAAATTGGCACGAAAAGCGGAAGGACCTAAATTAAAACAATCGAAAAAGAAGGATTGAATGAACGCTCGCCGATTTTCTCAAGCAAAAAATACATACAAACACACATATATATATGTACATATACCTTTTCGTTAATAAACTACCTAGCGGCAGGGCCTTTACTTTACATCTACATACATACATAAACACAAGTCTAAACCCAGCAGTGAAACATCATACTGGTGAGAAAAAATACTAATTCACAACCAGGGGTCGAATCGAGCGTTCCGTGAACGTATCGGCAATCGTACGAAAGGAAATTCCGAGATAAGTAAATCGTATAAAATTGTTGAGATGATGCAAAACGAAAGCAAGCGGATCGTAATTATTTGAATTTCATGTTCATCTCTTACATTATTCTCTTAAAATTTTGAATCCGCTGTTCGCAAATGCTTAATATTTTGTCAAATAAAAGCAATTATGACCGGCGTTTTACTTTTTTTTGTTTACCTACCGAAGAAAGTGATGTCGATGAACGAATTGTAAAGCGGCGATTAAGCGAACTTGCAAGTTGTTTTTCGCCTGGTACTTTTGGTCAGCTCCTCCTCCAATTTGTGGGCTGATGGTTTTTTGGCGCAAAGCTTCATGTCAGTAGTACACTCGGAGGGGTTGTCATTCTCTACCAAGGGGCGACCGCCCACAATGGCTTATGGATCATTTAACCGAAAGGGAGCTTCATCGTTGGAAAAACATTTCTTGTGAAAGCTGGCAATCGCATTTTTGGCCTATTCACTGACAGTCTCGTCCGAGTGGAATTTTCTAGGCCCTTAAATCTGGATCCTACCGCAAAATCTTCCATAAAGTGAATGAACGCACCTCCAATTGTTGCGGGCGATAGAGGATGAACTCATCACTTCGCCTTCTTCGTTACACTGCTCCACAGCAGCAATAGCGCCTTGGTTGCGCACTGTGCGACATCTCTGATAATGGGGGCTTACATTGCAAAATGTTTCTAAGGGATGCCATCTATTTGTGGTTTTAAAAAAGTCAAATTATTATATCGAGGACAGAATATGTGTTATTTCTAGGGGCTTAAACCAGAGAGAGAGAGGGGTTAATAGATAAGTGGTCTTAAGAGAGTGGTTATAGTAAGCACACCATGAGCAGGAAGAGTTATTTTTTGTTCATGTACTCTCTGTGAGTGGCGGATAGGGTATATCGGTAAGTCGTACTCATGTCCAGCGATTCTTTTCGGTGATGCTGAGTCCTTTGGATCAAATACTTCCTTCTTTGATGTGTCGCCCCAATTGAATTGACATTATTATTGGTCCATTGCGCAAAACAATCGGTCCGCGGTCAATTAAACTTCGTCAAACCACACGAGCCTAGTTGAGTCTGCTTGACGTACTAGTTTCGAAGTTTTGTAACTAGTCCTTTTTGCTGTAGGGTATATTAAGACGCATATATATGTGTGTGTACTATGGTGTCTTTGTTTATTTGTTTTATATGACGTGTTGGATAGTTAATTTGACGGGTTATGTACTCAGGTTCCTTCATTAAGTACATTGTAGAACATTTATTATGGCATCCTGCACAAGGTAAGGCTTAATCAAAGTAACACTTTTATGTACGAGTATATGTATATACATATGTATGTGCATATGTATGCTCGTCAAATTTGGAGATGTCTTTACATACATACATGTAGTTGAGTATGTGGTACAGACTAACATGCATTCTCCGATGAAAGCTAAGAAAAAATTTGAGAATGACAAATACAAAAATATATATTTATGTATGTAAAAAAAGTATTACCAAATTGTATGATTTCAAAATCTACGCCCCAAAAGAGAATTTTGTATTCAAGAAACAAAATCACAATATATACATACATACGTTTGCATAAGTTAAACCATACTCGTACATATACATATATTCATATTTATACGAATAAATCAATGTGCCCATCACGTGCAAACTTAGTTTTTCCGTTTCATTTCTTATGCGTTTAGCATACACCAACAGCACAAGAGAAAGATAATGAGATTTCATAAAGTTTCCTGGAAATGCAGTCCGCATGCGAATGGTCTTGATATACTCACACATACGAGTGTATAAACTTTACTAATAAAAAGTATTTAACTGATTTTCTGTTTTGGAAAGTAATCTGCCAAACATTAAGGGCTATTGGGAAAATGAGCTATTTAAATATCAACCATGAAATGATGAGACAACATCCGCCACTATATACATATGCTTGCTCGTTGGGAAAAAGTCAACCATTGCATCCGACCTAAAGTTAGTTATATTTAAAAAAATTGAAACATCTCATTTAGCTGCTTATGCACATATATATATATATATATTTATTAAATTTATATTTATTAAATGGTTAGAATGTTTAATAAATTATTTTAAATTCAAGTCTTTTTAGTTTTTTTAAAAGAATTTTACAAAATTATTTTGTAATATTTTAAGTTAACAACTTAAATTAAATTGCATTCATTTATGTATACAAATTCAATTCAATAGTTTTTGACAGATTTTCCTTACATAAGATCTGAAAAGCATTTCCATTTTAAAGGTAAGAAGCACATCAATTTGAGTATGTATGTTTATGTTATACTATAAAATTAATAAACACTAGTAACTAAATTAGATATTTTCACGGTGGTTGTAATTCTCTTAAGGTGATTTAATTCCTAAGGAGATAATCATTGCCTTCTGTTCTTGTTGTGGCCATATATTGATCTAATTCCTTATCCAGCTTTTCCTTATTAACTTCGGGCTTTGCGTTTTTACCTAAAGGAATATATTAAATATATTAAATCATCATCATTACTTAAGGCAATAATTTATTTGTTTATTTTTAAAGTTCAACACACTCAAATACAAAAGCTCCTGGGACAGCGTGGGCAAACACAGCACGCATTGGTTAGTTTTTACCTTGATTGCGGCCACCACGTCCTCGACTTCGACTACGTCCACGTCTCTGCTGTTGTTGTTGCTGTCCGTTCTTATTACCATTTGCTTTACCATTCCTTTGAGCTGTTGCACCTCGTCCTCCACGCCGTTGTTGACTACGGCCACGTACTCGACCGCCTTGTACCGATCCTGATCCTGCATTACGCTGACCAACCACAGATCCCCCGCGTGGACGTGAACGTGCACGTAATTGAGTGCCCACCTTTGTACCATTTCGTGTACGTGATCGAGAACGTCCCACAACGTTTGCATTTGGCTTTCTAGTCAATGTTCTGTGAAATGTCAAAAGAAAAAAAAATACATTACAGAAATATGTAATTTTACAAGAATATATACATAGAATATATATGAACATATATGCATATATAATATATTTTATATTAGGCTCTTACCTTCCCCGCTGACGGCCGATTCCATTGCGTCCGTTAGCAGCAGGAGTAATGTTTGAATTGCGCCGGCGTTGTATACGTCCCTGTGCAACACCGCGTACGCCACTTGTACTACGTCGAGGGCGTGTATTAGCACCAGGACGAAGCCCCAAACGTGCTTTTACAGGTATATTTGCTCGGTTGCGAGCATTAGCCCGGCTAACTGAGCGTGCACGTGAACGAGAACGACCACGCATTTGCACGCCACCTGCTGGGACGCGCCCGATGCTGCGCGAACGACTACGTGTCAAATTTATAACCGCCACGGGGGCTCTTGACCGACTGCGCGATCGTCCACGCCTTTGCATTTCATTGGGTATAACAGCGCCAGACATTGTACGTTGTAAACGTTGACGTTGAGCAACACGCTGAGCAGCTCCGCCTACTAGCGGACGGCGTGAGCCCAAACGATTTGAAACGGAACTTGCTCGACGGAGGGATCTGTTCAGGTTACGTTGACTGTTTGATATCAAGTCGGCTTCCATACTATATTTTTAACGAAGGATTGGCAAAAATAAAATGATCAAATATATGCTTATTTGGTGGTTTCTGTTCAAAGACTCTTGAAGAGTTCTCAGTTGCAACAATTGAAATACATAGTTTTCAAATTTTCCATTTCAAATTTCTTTTCAATGTACATACATATGTATTTCTTGGCCTTTAAGCGCACAACTAAAAGCCTTTTTCATGTATTGTAGCAGCTGGTGCAATTATGATATAAATTCAGTTTAAATTTAGTGCTTACGTTGCCACGGTGGTCAGGCTATTGGTTCGGATCGGTTTTCCATTGGCTGCTACACGCAAGGCCTTGATAGTGCCACGTCTCATGGCTAAACTTCCTCCAATTGGACGCATGCTTCTCTGTAAGATCCACACACAGTGTGAATTAGAAGAAATTTTCAAAATTAAACGGTGATTCGTTTTAGGGGCTTTCCATTTACGTCTACATGACTTTAAAGCGTGTAATATTGGTTGGTTGTTGTCTACAATAGGCTGCTACATCGAAAAATATAGCGAAATGTGAGCATGAAACATTATTAGATGTTAAATTTCTTGTCGGCTCTAACATTTCTTTACCAGCACCCAATTCTATAAATGTTTTGATAGGACGAAGTGTATCAATTGTCTAGGAATAGTTTTAAATGGTTTACTCAAGAGTGGAAAATATCAGTGTCCAAGAATTATGGCAAAAACGGAAAAACTTGAAGTTAGTGTTGGTGTAACAGCAAAACAAAAGGATAGGTTTCTCTGGCCAGCTTTAACCAAACATCTCGTTCACACAAAGCTGCTTAAGTAGAGCTCAATCACTGGATTTTTTGTTGTCCGACAGCTTGGTGTTAAGGCTTTCAATCTCTCTATATATATATTATTTCTTGCAGCAAAGAATACACCACAGGCGGTTAAGTTTTCTTCATTGAAAGATGATAGTATCTGATGACTTTTGTAGAACAGTGATTTTTGAACAGCAAAGATATTACATGCGAATTTCCCCTTCTAAGTTTACACAATTATTATAGCAAACCCTTGCATGTTGGACCGTGTAATTCCATAACTTTTTTGATGTATTCCGTTTATGTAATCTGATGAGCATTGGCAGCTGATGCAAGAATACTCCACGCATAGTGTTACTGGATCACAGAATGCAGAATTTATCCACACTTTCTAAAGAATACTCGTAAAAGCAATATTATAGAATTGGGTGTTTAAGGCACTTTCTCACAATCTAAGAGTACATTCATCGAAGTCTTGCGAATTACTTTCATTCGATATTACATCATTGTATCATTAATCACTTTCGACTTTTTTCTTTGTTTAATTTTACATGCAAGATGCAAGCTTAAATTATTTGAGTTAAGCCAACCATTATGCTTTGAAGATTTTCCATCATATTATAATATATTTTATTCAGTTACATACGCGTTTCAATTTAAGTGCTGCTTGCATTTTATGTCTTCTAGCTAATTGTTGTAGTAATCGGCGATTTGCGACTGATGTATCGCGAGCCGGTGGTCGCATAACGCGTTCTGGAACCTCGCGACGGCGATCCTGCACTGCAGTGAAACGTTCGTTTAAAGATAAACCAGTAGAGTTGGTGACATGAATTTTACTAATAGATGCAGACATTCTTGAGCAATGTTTTTTAATTTAATTTAATGTAAAGAAAACTTTGAAGAAAACTGTTTATTTATATTTTTATTCTTTGGCACAACGTATGTATGTTGCGCTGTATCAACACTGTAGCACACTTCGTTTTAAACTGAAAGACAAAAAGATGGAATTCAGTATTTATAGGCAGAAAAATCAAATACAACACAACATAAATTGTTAAAGGACCTATCTTAAATTTTATTCAAAGAAATATAGTTAACATTTTTCCTAAAACAAGTATTTCGATGAAAACATTTTCAAGTACCTGAAATATGTACAACAAACCTTTTAAGATGTTTATTACAAATCATTAAAATTAATTGTTTTTTTTTTAAGGGATACACTATCTGCATACGCATTGATCATTGTCTTAATATATGGTATTTAATATTGTTTGATTTTGGGCAAAATTCTAACGATCATTACACATAGCAACACGTCGTCCGAACCGACGGCCAGAAAAACAATGCACTGGATTATGTTCTATTGTTCTGTTGTAATAACGTCATTTTCTTCTTTCTGTTAAAATAATGTGAAAAAGGTATGCCACAAATATCTTAAGACAAAAATAAACAAATTACTCATAATGTAAAATATCCACATGCATGTATGTATGTATTTACGTATAATACGTTGCATAGATAGATATATATAAAATCATACTTTCATGTGCAAATTTTGTTGCTGCCTGGACATGTGTGTATATATATATGTATGTACCAAAAAAAACTCAAGGCCGTAAGAAAATGGAGTAAAAAGCGATTATGTGTAAAATTGCTAAAAGGGATTACGCAATAAATCTTACCTCTTAAAAGATATTTGGAGATTAATAAAACAAATTTTATTCGCTAATGATGTCTGATAACCTTGGTACGAAAATTTTCTTCGTCGTAGCAGATATTTATGTATATACTTTTCCAAATTATTTTTTATATCCCTTCCAAAAGCAAGTAAAATTCTTTCAAGATACTTGGTTATCGCAATTTAATGAATTTTCAGCTATTTCTAAATATTACAATGTATTTTTTAGGTAAAAATTAACTTTAATCTCTAGTGAATTTCACGAGCAATAATTTTTCCTCTTACAAAGAACAAAGATGGCGACGGGAAAAATTGTGTGGTGTTGCCAGAAATTCATTGTGCTTCGTTTTAATATCGCGGCGAAAACATCTTAAGAAGTTTTTCTTTTAATTTTATGTCTCTCTATGCAAAAATACCAGCATATTTATACATTAAACTTTAAAGTATTAACAACGAAAATTTAACCAAAGTGGTGTCCAAGCTATTTCACTAAAAAAGGAAACTTGTCCCTTATTAATTTTTAACATATTCGGTGTGAGTGCAAAGAACGTATATGATAAAAGCGCATTGGAAGCGACAGACTCATACGGTCTTTGTGCGAATGCGGTTTTCAATATCAGGAATTCGTGTCCTCTTCACATCATTTTTCGTTGACGAATATTAATAGTTGGGGACACATGGCTCAATTCGCTTGGAGTTTTTGCAATTGGCGGCGATGGAAACGATGAAAACAATTTGCAAATCATGAAGGAGTATAAATGTAGCCACTTTAGGCAAATATATCATTATTTTTTTTTATATTAATTTCTCTCAATTCAAAGCAAATTTTTGGCGAGAATAGGAATACTGGCAAAGAGCGTATATGAAAATATGAATGTACGGTCTTTGACAATGCAATAACCTGGTCCAGTTCTCATCTGTTCCGCCCGCATTTTTTAGGATTTTCGTTGAACAGACCGATTGTGTTTACAAACATCTGTTTTTGACGGTAGCGCACAAAAAATAATGTAAATAAGTTTTAGCTCCCCTTTTCTGTGGATCTTTGGGTCATTCCTATCGCCTCTTAAGAACGCTGAAAACAGCAACAACACATTCATCATTGTAGGTATTAACAGCAGCTGCTTCAGGTAGACACCGCTTAAGATCTTGTATACATTTAAAATCTTTCAGTCGTAACTATTTACATATTTTGCAAAGAGCGATTTGGCAAGCTTATACGACAAAGACTAACTTTTTTTGTAGTATTTATTCAAAATTATTAGTCGCTTTGCGTATATTAATTATGCAAAACCAGTTGTGGTGATAGAGCATTGAACTCTTGAAAATCATTGTGATTTTGAAGAAAGTTGTTGATCTCTTTGGCCACCATAGCAAAAGTGTTCTCAGAACTATTGAGTTTTGTGCTTAAGGCTATAATTATTTCTTTTCTAGTTTGCCAATACGGCTCAACTCAATCGACATAATAGCTTTTATCGCTCAACAAACGTTAATCGCAGAGTCAGCGACTATGCCACGAAACAGCAATAACATTGGTAGGGCAAAAAAAATAGTTGTAAATGTGAACAGCAACAGAAGCCGCAGAATCAAATTTAGCCATTAAAGTAAAACGATACGCAATTGATATTGGATTGAATTTAATCAGGAATTTGAAGAAAGCAAGCTGTTAGAAGATCATAATGGCGAAAATGGTGCCTGATGTGGTTATTTGGTGAGTATTACATATTTTTTTAGGTAATTTTCCATTTATCAAAACGGCTGTTGTTATCCTTTTCTAGTGGTTTTGTGATTACGGCACTATTGCTGATACACTTCTTTTCGGATATATTGCGCCTTTCCTTAGGCGGTTATTACACACATGCTACCCTCTCACAACTTGTCGAGTCACACTCCAACAAGGAATATTCATGGTTGTTGAAACTTATGGCCAATTGTTTTGGCTACAGTTGTGTTTTTGTACCTGGTTATCTAATTTACAAATATGTTGTACGCACAAAATACCTGGAGAAGAGTGGTAAGCTAAATATATTAGCTAAATATATGATATTATTTTAATTAAATATTATTTATTTAATACTAACAGAAAAAACTTGCATTTATACCGCGGTTAGTATGTGTATCACTGGTAATCCTGGTACTGAGCTCGACTATTCCGAGCCCATGGAGCGCAAGCCCATGGACCCATTGCCACCGTCACCTGGACCACAGAAACGTACAACATCGCAGGACACATTACTACTTTTCTGGTGCTTTGGTGGGCTCATGGTCTCGTACTTAACTTGGGGTGTATTGCAGGAGAAAATTATGACACAACAATACTTCAACTCCGAAGGTCAGCCAACACATTTTAAAGACTCGCAATTTCTTGTCTTTTGTAATCGCCTTTCTGCATTCATTTGCGCAATGGTAACACTACGTATCAAAACACCATCCAATAGACATTGTACACCACTATATAAGTACTCGTTTGCTTCCTTCTCGAATATAATGAGTGCTTGGTTCCAGTACGAGGCACTCAAATTTGTAAGCTTCCCTACACAGGTGTTAGCAAAGGCATGCAAAATTATACCCGTCATGTTAATGGGTAAAATTATATCAAAAAACAAATACGATTGGTATGAGTACGTATCAGCTATATTGATATCGTTGGGTATGATCTTTTTTATGACCGGCTCAGCAAGCGGCAGCAACACAAGCAGTGTAACAACATTCACCGGCATTTTCCTGCTAACAATGTACTTAACTTGCGATAGCTTTACAGCAAATTGGCAAGATGAACTTTTCAAGAATTACGAAATGTCATCACTACAAATGATGGCAGGTGTCAATTTATTTTCAACAATATTTACAACGACTTCGTTATGGGTGCAAGGTGGTTTTATGGATTCATTGGCATTTGCCAGCGAGGTCAGTGTGAAAATATCTGTACAATGTTTAATTAATTGTAAAAATATTAAATATCTATTGTCTGTCATAGCATCCAAAATTTGTACTCGATGCACTAACAATTTCGCTGTGTTCGGCGGTGGGTCAATTATTCATTTTTTATACAATATCGAAATTTGGTGCAGTTGTGTTTACCATCATAATGACGTTAAGACAGGTGAGTTAATAAACAAAAACAGACAATTGTTTACATTTTTAATAAAAACAACTTTAGAGAATGGTCGGACAAAGTTTAAAAAAAAGACGTTTTTTTTTTGTTCATGCAGTAACTACTTTTAGCTTGTTGATGTGGGTGTAAAATTAATTTGAGCTAGTGGATTTTTAAAAATAAAACTCAAATTAGTTAAAAAAAATTAAAATGTAGCAAATATATTGCTTGCATCCCTACTTCTTTGTTTTTGTTTTATTAAAATGCTGAGTATTCTAATGATAATATCTGAATAAATCTTAACAAACTGTTATTATTATTTTACATATAGAAATACATACATATAAACAATAATTGTATGGAAAAAGGAAAAAAAACATAAAGTTTTTCTTCTCTACTTCTGACCTATTTCTGATAAATTTTTCACCTGTGTATACACAACTGTTAGCAACATATTTACTCATTATTTTTTCTATTGACTTTTTAGGCCTTTGCAATATTGCTTTCCTGTTTGATCTACAAGCACAAAATTTCTGTGTTGGGCATCTTCGGTATATTAGTTGTATTCTTTGCGGTCTTTATGCGTTCCTACGGAAAACAACGCATGAAAGCGATAAAGAAACGAGCAGAAGCACATAAACCAAAAATGGGCGCATAATTCATACTTGAGGGAGAGTATTTGTTTTTAAATAGTGACACTAGTATGAATGCGGCTATGGATTGCTTACGAAAATGAGAGGCGTAAATCAGCATAAATTAGCTCTTATCAACACAAACACCATGTCTTTAATCTTTAAAATAGCAAATTGCAAACATGTGCAAATATACAATATTCATCTTCACATTCTAATACATATATGTATATAAATGTCTACAGTTTATATTCTTGTTCACATCAAAATGCAACTTAAATGTTGAAAAATATACAGTACGTAAAACGAATGCAAAACGTTAAAGAACATATATATTTTTGTATATATAATATATATGTATGTGTTGTTACATATAATGAAATATTTAAAATTGTGCGCTGGTAGCTAATTATAATTAGTTTTTAAGTAAAATTAGGTTTATACTTTTATGCCTTAAAATAAGTAATTAAGTAAAAGTTCATATATGTTTTTTTTTGTCATAAAATGCTGCAAATTCTTTTAACATTGTAGGTATTTTGTTGATACTTGCTAGCATATGTAATACAAATACTTGATATATGGAGAAATTTTAAACTTTCTTTAATCTTACTTGCGAAAATACACATGTATGTATGTATATGTGCAGATATGCATGAGCGCTTTTCGACATATGAAATATTTTTTTGGACTAAGTCTCTTGTATCTCATGTGTTTCTCATGTGTTTCTAAATGTCTAATAGTAAATAACAACGATTTATTGTTCCTTGATACGTATATTTATGCACTTATGTGCGTTTTAAGAATTTATCGAATTTTTCTTGTATTGTGTATTCAAGCTGAATGGTATACATACTAGCTACAATGTCGAATAAACTTTTGAAATTTCAAAAATATACATATTTTGAAGCTAGGGGGTTTTCTATAAACATCTTGAACGAACACCTGCAAATTCTGCAATATTTTTTTTACAGATTTCAACTCTTTGTTTTAGTTGCCACAAAAAGTTAGCATTAACTAAAGGTGTAGAGTATAAGATATGCTATGAATTTCAGTCGGAGTTGCTGCCGTAACTCCGTTTAGGAGCATATTAAGCTCGTCTTTCGCTGGCGAGAGCCTTAAGTGTTTAGCGCTTTATGAGTTTGCGTTTGAAATAATTTTTCGATTATCACCTGAAACCATTCGTTTTAAATTCAAAGGAGTCGACGTTCGAAATGCGGGAGAGAGGAAATTTTTGAACTCATAATCCGCAGGGTTAACCGGTTACACAGCCAAAGAGACTTGAGATGTTGTGAAGCGCTGTCAAAATGTGCCTACGAAACGCGTGCACTGAGCAATTCTTAGGATGACTCCGAACGCTCAAGATATATTCCGTTGGAATAGATTATATTAGAAAGTAATAGTGCGAACTCGGAAACCCCCTTCTCAGGAATATCAATAAGGAGACTCGGCGTCAGGTTGACATTTATAAGCGGAATAATTGGGAGGAGCACTAACATCTGGGCCACAGATAAGTCGTTGTCAAAATTGACTAGGTGCAATAACCTGGGGGAAATTTCATTGCATATTCGAGAGTTCCGCGTAATACTGACGCAACTTAGATCTGCTACCTATCCGAACTCTGGCATACCCAACGTTTGTGCTACACGATCTGAGTCCCTGCAAGACCAGTCCATTTCTTTGCACAACTCTTAAAACCATCTCATCTAACTCCCCTTTCTCTATGGGCCAAACTCTTTGAAAAGGTTGGACTTCTCGTTAGATGGCCTCGATGACTTCACTGCCGCAATAACAACAGCAACAACACAACAAGAAAGTATCAGTATTTGGCGGGTTAGGGGTTCAAGAATTTACCCACGGTAAGGCATGCCTGTCGTAAAAGGTGACTAGAATCGAATAGTTCCCGCGACAGTCGGATCTTTATAACGGAACGATCCGGATTTTTATCCGGCCAAGGACTGTCACTCCCGGAACATTCCCCAAAAAGTACTTTGGGGAATAATTTTGCGACTACAACAACAACAACAACAACATCAGTATTTGAACGGACAAAATTCAAATGAGCTAAAATGACAAAATAATGTTATTTGGTAAAAATAATTATTATTATAATAAATTAAAATAATAAATTAATATGTCGAAATTTCATAAACCACAGATGGATGGATGGACTGATGACTGTCCACAATTCTCATCATTAAATATTATTATTGTTTATAAAACCGAAAGAGACATTCGAACTCATCATTTAGTTTTACTTTTACAGCCTTGACCCGATTTTGTAGTGCCAAAAAAAACAACGCCAAATTTACACAGCTCGTTTTTATGATGGCTCTTTTTTATGTACTAGTGCGAAGAGTTGCTCAAATGAAGAGAACTAGTAAAAATAATAGAAAATGAGGAAATACTGAGTTCGTGTGGAACCGATAGCTGACTGCTTCGGTTGTGTGGAGAAGGGGTGTTGCAAATACACGTATGCACCTTGTTCAATTGATTTGGATCCGTTAATGTTTCGGTTTTTTCAACTCATCTGAGTCATCAGTCAATTGGCCATTTTTTCTGAGCTTCCCTGTCGGCATCTTTTTGCGCACTTCTTTGCGGATTTTTTTTCGAAAATACCTCGGTATGAAAGCCTATGCATTCTAACTGGTCCAGGAACTGAAGCCTTATGATCATCCGCTTCGCCCAATAAGCTGAAGTTCGCTTTTTACTGAAAATTCATACATATTTTCTAATGAATGTCGTTTTCACATCGGCAACTACGTTAAAAAGAAAAACTGCCGCTGCTAGTTCCTAGAAATCTCATACGTAACCATGGAAACTCCTATGCATCTTCCATAAGTGACTGGTTGTTACGGACGGTATGTGAACTGCCGATTTGGCTTATGAGTTTTAATTCAAAAAGGGGGATGAAACTGGCATTGCTAGCAATGCCGATCATGCCATGATCAGAGATTACCAACTGTTGCAGATAATGAGATGGAAAACTGTGGTATTATAGACGAAATGACGATATCAACGCATCGTCTCGCAAGCTGGAATTCGACTTTGTTGGAAGATTCTGCGAGACTATTCATGAGCTAAAACATGAAATTAAAGTCGCCTATGCGGCCATAGAGAGCCGTGCAATCGGCAGAATTTAATGGACTACAGCAAGTCCAGCCGCGGCAGCCAATGAAGTGACCTTCTGTTACTAGCCGGAATGTCATATCAAAAACTCATATAGAGAATAATCGCAGGAAATAGTGTTTTATTATCATACTTATCGAAAGGTGAGAAAGCGGAGTGAGTGGAATTTCATTTTATATTAAAGTTGTGGTATAATTTATATGAAAAAAATTTGTGTAAGTTTCAATCGAGTATGGGTGAGCATACGACATTTTTCACAGCATCGACCACTCCCCTCGATTCTTTTAAATAAGTAGATATTACTCTTTGGATTATTTTATTCTGTTATCCGCAACCGTTCGCTGTATAAAGTTAATATACCCTACGTAATGATCGCCGCCGCATAAATTTGGCAAAAACGGAAACTGAAAGGCAAAAATAAACAGTTGCAGGTCAATGCACAGGTGGGAAATGAGCAAAAAATAAAAGACAATTTAAATTTTTGCAAAAAACATAAGCAAGAAAATATCAGAAATTTCCACGAACGCTATACCAAACTAGGTGATTACAAAGCAGGGTAGATTGCGGCGTGGTACGCATGCGCAGATGAGTCGACCGCTATGCTGCAGCGTGTCACTTGTGCGTGGGTGCCCGCTTTTTCGCACTTCAACTAACAAATGGGCTGAAATTAGCATAATACAAAAACCAAGCAAATAAAATTCAAAGACTGTGAATAAAAATTCGCCAGTCAAGCTGAAGTTGTTGTTTTATGTTTGGCTGCGTTTCTGCAAAAAAGGGCATTTGGCAATATCTATGTTGCTGCCGACTATGGACAGAACAACAAGCTGGTTAGCGCGAGGCCTTGTTGGTATATATGAAAATAGATTGTAAAATGGGCAACAAATGTGTGTGGGTTTGTTTGGATAACCCTACGGGCTGGGGCAGTGAAATCTTTTTTAGATAAGTAAGAGTGTTGCAGCGGGCGGGCGCTTAGTGCAAGTTGCAAGCGAGAAACGAATAGATCGTAGTGTTAAATAAAAAATAAAACGAAAAACTGCTTGATATTTGAATTTGAACGACTTAAGAAGGATAAATACCAAAGCAAAAAAAAAAAGTTATTAAATATATAAAATAGTAAAAAAACGACGAAGGGCATTTTGAGAGTCTCTGAAAAAATGTTGGTGTAAATAGATTGCGTGTCATGAAATTTGCCAGTGAAAATGTCTGCCCTTTATAAAGAATATGTTACACGCTCACTCGTGTTAATCACCGCCTTTGGCCTGTGCGCTTGTGCACCCCAGAGCTACTATTCTTCGAGTTCTTACTCAACGTCACCACAACGTGCAAGTCCTTACCGACGCGCCACTTACTCACCATATCGAGATTATAACAGCGAATATTATGAAGCGTTGCGACAGCGGCGACTTCGCGCACTCGCCGATAGCTACAAGGACAACTACAACAGTTTAAGTAGCAGCAGCAGCAGCAGCAGCAGCAGCACTAGCAGTGGCAAAACGGAAAATAGTAAAACGCAGCGCTATTACTCCGCCTCTCGGCTACCTGTCGCAGCTACATCCATTAGCGCTGCCAACAACGATGCCAGCGGCGGCATCACCACCACCAGCATTTATGCTACCAATAACAATAATCAGCAGGACAACTATTACAGTAGATATAGAGCGTACGCAAGTAGAAACCGTTTAGCCAACAGCTCTACGAACAAACAACAAGACTCGACAACTACAACCACTCAAAGACCGCGTGCAGATAAATCCGACGAGGAGAATGCTAAATTTGCCGGTATTCGAAATCAGGAGGCTAATGATGAAGAATCTACGAAAACAGTCTTACATTTGAAACGTAAAAAGTTGCGGCGCTGCTTGCCATTCCGACGTGACGCTCAAGGTGATGAAGTGACACCACCACCCGATGAGCAAGGTCGCATCCTTTGGGATGTGAATGTTTATAATATTTATTCGGGCGGTGGTGGTGGTGGTTATCCACCGCCCTTATTTGATGCTGGTGGCGGGTGTGGTGGTTTCGGCGGTGGCTTAGGTGGCGGGGGACTTGCTAGTGCATTTGCCGGCGCTGGTGGTCTAGGTGGCGGTGGTCTATTGGCTGATCCCATTGATGCTGCTTATGCGCCACCCAACAGATTGAATAGTTTTCTACAGTTATTTGCGCCTGGCATACTACAGAATGCCCTAGCGGCAACGGCACGTCCATCGCTGTCAAGACCTCAATCCGATGCAAGTGCGAGTGAAGCGAATGATTTGGCTAATGATCCGGAAGTCGATCCGGGCTATAGTCCAGTGGCCGCACGACCACCTCCAGTGAGAAGGCCAAATCGTGTTTATTATGATTCAGCGGGTGCGGTGAGTCTAATATTCGACATACAGTAAAAGCTTCCCATGAATTTTTTTCAATCCTTCGGAAGCGGCTTGAAACTTCACGTCTCTCCATCTGAGAAGGGAAAGACATCAAGACGCACAGCAGAAAACGTTGACTAAATATAAGACTGAAATATATTTGTATTATTTTCTAATTGATGTTCAAATTCTCTTCTCCAGGCACCCATTACTCCCGCTCAATTGGTCGGCGGTGTTGCAACTACGGTTAACGGTATCATACAGCAACTGACTGGCAACGTACAACCGGTTTATCCTGGCTATAGATCGCTGAGCTATGGAAAGTGACTTGAAATTAATAACTAGTTTTTACACTATTACATACATAAATAATTTAATTTTTATATTTATGAGTTTTTATTTAGAATTAAAGAATATACTTTGTTCCTCAAATGAAATAACTGAAGCTTTCACTGTTTTCTGCGATCAATACAAGATTCCTTTATTGGTGACGGCTATGATAACCGCGTTTGTCTTCTTTTCCTTAAAAAAATCAGGGCATGGCAGGGATATGGAGTTTTCGAAGAAAATGTGAACTAATTTCTTTTGCTTAGATGAACATTTCTTAAAATAGAATGTTCCCTGTGATGAGATTGTCTTTTCCTTCAGTTGTTGTTTTGCTGGCTCAATATCTCTCCACATTCTATAAGAATTTGTCCAAATAAGCGCGAAATCGACAAACGAATGTGTGCCTAAGCCTTTATTTTATTTCAAAAGTTGTACAAAGCTATAATTCTTCATCGTAGCTTTTGCTTGGCGTTGTGCTAAAGCTTTTAAAGATTATATGGGAATTTCTACCATAATAAAGCTCTCAATATTTTGCTATAAATTTCGCTTGCATACATACCATCTAAGCTGTTGACGACCGACACATAGAGTTTATAGAAGAACGCCTCCTACGCGATGAAATAGACGTTTATGAAGTTAGGATAGCTTTAAAGAAGGAAAGACTGAAAATTGTCTGCTCAATACCCTATATAAGGTCCTATCTAGCGTACATTATGATAGACAAAAGTCCATCGTCTGACCTAGCCTTTGAATACCAAGCTTCGTGAAACCTTCTGAAACGAATCTACTCACTTTTTTGTACACTTTCAACCATATTCACTATGTCTCAGTTTGTTTGCTTCGCCAGAATTGGAAACATCATCGCCAGCGCAAGGTACTCGAAGTCATAAACTATATCGATTGTATAACAGGGACTACTATGGACTTATTCGGCATATTAAATAGCATCCGCATTACGGAAATCTGATCCTTTAAAATAAAAATAGACACCGAGGCCGCAATAACCGGTAATTAGCATTGTATACTGCCATTCTAAAGACCAACATCGACAATTTTAAAAAAATTCATTGTCCTAATTGCCCGTCGGCAGGGAATGCCAAGCCCTCCCAGAATTTTTTGGCATAAAATAAAGAAACTCCTCATAAAAATCAGGCTTTCGGAGACGACTTAGAACAAACTGTAGGTCCCTCCAACGTTGTGAAGGCCTTCCTACTTCTTTGTTTCCACCAGCCACTTCTGCATCAATTATTTTCAAAGATGGTGTAAAATTACATGCATCCGGACGATATGACCTAGCAAGTGAGCCTTCTGCTCTGCGGGTTAGGGGTTCAAGAATGTACCCACGGTAAGGCATGTCTGTCGTAGGAGGCGACTAAAATCCAATAGTTCCCGCGACAGTCGGATCTTTATACCGCAACGATCCGGATTTTTATCCGGCCAAGAACTGTCGCTCTCGCAACATTCCCCAAAAACTAATTTAGGGAATACTTTTCCAGTTACAGCAAAAACAGCAACCTAGCCAGCGTCCACTGTCTCGTAGCTCGCTGTACTACATATATCTCATAAAACTTGTTGTTCCATCGTCTGCGGTTGTCAATGCGCCAAGAATTATAAATCTTCCGCAAAATCATTTTCTCCACTTAGTGATAAATGCCCACTCATCGCATGTCGTCATCGTCCAAACCTCTGCACTGTGTAGCAGAAAGGGTGTGATTTACGACTCTAAGAACTTTGGCTTGGTTCGTCAAGAGAGGACTTTTCTTTTCTCTCAGTAGTAGTAACTGTTTAATGAAGGGATCAAGTGGACCATGGATTGACCTAGCTTTCTATTTTATTTTGATTTAGTCTTTTTAAAATATAATTGGCTACAGATTTTATTAGCATCGTTTCGCCTCTTTCCATTAAAGGGAGGTGACAAATAAACACGTCACAATGTAATCAAGGGAAAGTCCTCCAAACACTTACTAACAGGCTTTTGACTTATCGAATGCCAAAGAAGAATACTATTATTTTCACAACATTTATATTTTGCACAAATCCTCACACACACTTTTCATTAATTTATATAAAAACACAGCGTTAAAACTACTTACAACTAAACGTTTTACAACGCCAGTAACTTTAACCTAAGAAACCATTACCAAAACCACCAAAACCGCCGTTGTAGTAATTGCTTTGACTGTGCGACTGGCTCTGTGCTTGACTGAAGGAACCTCCATAACTGCCATATCCGCCACCTAGACCGCCATAGCCGGGGTAGTAACCACCACCGAAACCTGGGCGGCCATAATAACCACCATAACCGCCTGGATAGCCACCATAATAGCCATGATAACCACCATATCCACCATAACCACCGTATCCGCCACCGAGACCTAGACCAAAAGCAGCGCCTAAACCCAAGCCACCGAAAGTACGCGCTTGGGCACTAGCTGGCTTTGGCGCAGGTGCTGCATATAGGACTGCGACGAAGGTGCAGATGAGCGCAAGTTTCAGAAGCTGGCATAAAACAAAAAAAAAAACAAAAAAACAGAAAAATTTAAAAACTAAAATTATAATTTTGTAAAAGATTTTAAACTTACAAATCCAGCCATTTCTGTATATTAAATATATATATATATTTTTAAATTTATTTTTGCTCCACGCAAAGTTCTAGCAATGAGCACCTCAGTTCGTTTAGTTAAGTACTAAATTGCAATTGAAGTACGGATATTGCTTTTTATACTTTAATCAGCATGAATGTGCGAATGTGCGCACGCATGCGTAGTGTAAATCTACTATGGATGAGTTGTAGCTACTTTCGGCAGCGAAATTGCAGAACCGAAATGAAAAACAAGTTGATGACGTGATGACTCTGCCATTGACGGAAACGTCCAGCGTCAAGATCAAGAGCACAATAATCACAGTCGATAACAAAAGCAAAATAGTATACTAAATATGTATGTAAATATTTATTATCACATGGTGGCATTAGTAGCCAGAAAAACCCAATTTTGAATTTGTGAATTCTCTGCTGCTTTTCAGAAATGATGCGCCCTGCACGCAACGTTATGCTGCGCGGTCAACCATGTGAAAAAATGAAATAAAAAATATATAAATTTAGTTTCTGTGTAGCAAGTACTTCGTGCAATAACCAAAATCATCATTAATCTATGTATTGTAGTAAAAACACTACTACAACGGTTCAGAATATGACAACTTCCTCTTACCAACGTCATTTAATGTAGACATATACATACATATGTGCTTAGCTATGTTTCCAAATAAAACTTAGTCAAGTTCAAATTTATTTACTAAATACTAGCGAAAGAGTATCTATGCAAAGTTTACTAACCTTTTCGAATGTCGCACACTGCGATGGCTGCGGCGAAAAATGCCCAAAATGAAAAAGATTTTTTTAGAGAGAAAATAAATATTTCATATAAGAAAAATCCATAATTTTTAAATAACTTGGTTTTGCTGTTAAAAGATATTCATCATCAAGAGCAAAATTCTAATATAAACGTTTTCATGCTCTGTTAATCATTTTTTATGCCGTACTTAAAAGCAAATTTTATAATTTATTTATTTTAATATCATAATAGTATGTGAAGTTTTACCGAATTTGGCAACACTTCCTCTCTTTTGACACTGTCAACATACTTATTTCAATCACCGTTAGATCAAAAGTGAGAAGTTTTATCAAATTTTACAGCTTGGTGTAAAATATTTGCAGAGAAAAACTAAAATATAACGAAAAATAGTTCTCTAGTTTTTATATTTAATAACGCATAAAAGCGTGTGTCACAATTATTTAAGAGATTTAACAAGATCAAACTGAACCAATTCCATTATTTTAACTTTTTCTAGTGGCAACAATGAAAATTGGTCAATTGTTTGAAGTTTGAAGAGAGACACTTCTATGTGTGGTGGGCATGCCTGAGCCCCAATCTCCACCAATTGTTATATTGGGCCAACATGAATCCTATACATTAGATTTCATTAAAATCGGCGCAGTTTTAATTTTAACGAAATGGGCGTGGCAGTGTTCCAATTTGTATAATATTTCTTATTAATTTTTTCTGCAATAAATAAAAAACTCACTCGAAATTATGGCAAGATCGGCACACGCTAAATGTTTTTGACCGCAGCATATATGGTACGGCTACACTGTGCGCACTCATTTACTCATCTCCAACTGGTGACGTATTCCGCTTGCATTATTATAGTTTTTGTTTTCACTTTCAGTACTGTACAGTACGAAACGGCAGAATGCTAATTGGTGGCGTGGATTTGTCACTTCTCACTCACTTCGAAAATTATTTTTTTCCCGCCAACAGGCAATCTTAACTCACTTCTGCATGTTTTCTGAGTCTTGGCGTAAAGTGTTTTCTTATGTAATGCATATAGCATGTTAATTTTAAAATGTTAGAAGAACAATTTAAATTCGAGTTATTTTTTATCTCGACGAGGTCACTTCGTATTTAAAAGTTGGGAAATCCCAAACAAATATTTAATATGCTTTTGAATTGCGGTTAAAACTTTGAAATGCTAATTTTAGATATTAATAATGCTTTTTGGGTTTTCTAAGTCAAAAGGTTAAATAACACAGCAGTCGCCAAGTAGCGTATTTTATGAACAAAAATATTTAGAATTACCAGGGAGCATTTTTAAAGTGGCGGAATGTGGAGTGCAAGCTGAAGTATGAAAAAAATATAATATCGCGATAGAAAAGTCAGTTGCGACCATAACGAATAAGGTCTTTCTTACGAATACCGAAGTCATTGGTATACAGCGACACTTCTCCACGAATATCATGGTGTACAAGAGGCACAGTTTATTTTAAGAAGTAAGGGAATCCCTTGAAGATGGCCTGCGGGCAATAGTATCGAGGTGACCACGTCTGAACTTAGCCAGAAAATTGAAAAAATTGTCTGTGGTAATGATCTATTAACCAAGAAACAAATCGCGGAAATGATTATAGTATCTGATATCTAAGTTCAGCTAAGGTTAATAAGTTTCAAGTCAAAATGAGTTTTTTTTATTATATGATACCTCAATGAATGTCAAACCAATATAAAAGGTGAAGTACAGCTTAGTATCCAAAGTGATATCCACGTAAACAATACAATGAACCTGCTCCAGATTATACTTATCTTTAGTTAAGTATCTGTCTGTACGGTTCGAACCAAACAGATTTTTTTTACACCAATTACCTCTTTAGGTCTGTTTGTACCGAGACATTTTTGAATATTTCATCTCAGAATAAATATCATTTATGGTGGCTACCATGGAGTACTGCTGATGAAACCGTATTAGAATCTGAAATGAAATTTTTAAACGCTACTCTTTGAGTAAAATAATTTGTTGAAAACCCATTAAGTCAAGCTTATTTATTAGCAACGAGTAACGAGGCACAGCTATGGTGAAGTCAACCTTAATTGCATCAACTCTTGTGTTTTCTCTGAACACATTGATGGTATAAGAAGTGAACTCGGGTAAATTTGTAATTGTATATTTTCTTTTAACAAAACCATGTTGGCAGTGTGATATAAAAGATAGATTGAATGGGGTAAATGATCCGTAATAATTAAAATAATTTTGCAATTGCAGAGAGCTTCGATTTGCCTCTATATTTTTCACTCAAGCACTTGCAATTTTTATGAAGATTTATGGTAAAAGTTTCGCTCCATATAAAACTAAAAATTCCTCATTTGAGGGATGCATAATAAACGAATCAAAGGTTTTTAAATATAACAAGCACAATTTACAAGAAAGCCCGAAAGTATTTGCTTGAGAACATATTTCCATGACATTTTTAAAATCTTTAAATGAAGAAAAACTCTCCTTTCTTTGGAATTCATGATTGACTTAACATCGAGTCATAAAGTCCACCAAATCCGGGAAATTTAACAAAATAATCGCATAGACTTTTTTGCCCAATATTAAATATATCAGATAATAATAAATAATACAGATTTCTCCACGTCACTAAAGACTTTCATTGAATTTTATTTCTTTATTAATGCATTTGAAAACCTTGCCTTAATTAAGTGTTGTTGTTTTGTTGAAAAGTTCATTGCCTTTTTGGTGTAAATTTGCAAACAATTTGCGAGATAAAAATAAAAAACAATGAAATAAAAACTATTAAAATTGCTAAAGTTGAAATTGTGACAGAGAATATTAAATTTACCATAGTAAATAGCCAAAAGTGTTGGCAATTTAATTAGATGGCATACATACATATATATGTATGTGTATGTAAATAACTGTCCGCAAGGAAAAATGATTTTATTTTAGAGACAAAAATCTGCTTAAAACAGATAGAATGACTTTTATTATTTTTCGAAGACACGTCATATCACACATTTTTATTTTTAAATGTTTCAAATAAAAAAAATGCTTATAACTAAAACCATCGATGTGAAACAAAGTAAACAAAATTAATTATTACCTGTGTAAGAAAAATACAATAAATGTCTGCAATGTTAAAATAGAAATTAAAATTTAGAGTGTATATTAAAAACTTATACAACTAAGCTGGACAAGTAGATTTAGGTGAAAAACGAGTCATGCAATATGATTACGCTGTTATTCATATTTGTACATTTGCACTTGCATAAATATGTATATCATTACCTACGGATATATATAAGTATGTAAATAATCGATTGGGGAGTATATTAAATATTTGCACTCAATTGCATTGCTCACAAAGGGTATTTTAAATTTCTACAGCCACGGATGATCTGAATTAAATAAGAAAAATATATGAAAATTATCAAAATCGCGTAGAAAGCTAGATCACACATAACGGTTGAAATTTGATTGTGATGTTTAAAAAAAAAAGAGCAGGAGATATGAGGATGACCATTTTACTTCTTATCCTAATTGAAGAGCTTACTTACCAAGGTCGGCTTAAGAAAAAATATTAAATGTAAAATATAACCAAACGCTGCATAAATGAAAACTTCATTTATCTTAAGTGGTTAATTTTTACTCACAAAATCTTCTTGCATTGGCCTACAATTGTCTTCATTCCCTAAAACCGGAGCAGTTGGCTGTGTGATTTTTGCTTCCGTCTGAATTTAGACCACACTTACTCCTTTCAGATGAATACGTAACATATATAAGACATATGTATGTATGTATATGCCAACAAAAACGGTGCTTTAATTTGTCAATACAACGCTAAAATCACTGAAATGGAAACTTTATACCCGAGATTTTGTGGAAAATTTGTAATGGAACCTATAAAAGTGGTAACTTTCTTCGAGGAAAAAGTTATACGAATCTGTTTGTTCGAGCACATAAAGTTATTACGGTTTTACCACATTTAAGTAAAATATTAAAACAAAAATAAAATAAATTAAATTCAACAAAATTGAAATAAAATAAAATAAATTATATTAAAACAAAAATAAAAATTAAAAAATTAATAATATTAATTGATGTACAATTAAATTAAATGAAATAAAAATAAATAACCTAAAATAAGTTACAATATTTTAAAATTAAATAATATAAACTTAGAAAAGGGGAATTGAATTAAATTATTTTATAATAAATTTGATAAAATAAAATTATATTCTATTTAATTAAAAAAATTAAATCAATTTGAGCAAAATTAAATTACATTAAAAAAACTACTTTAAATTATATTAAATAAAATAAAACTGAATGATATGAAACAATATAAAACAAAAAGAAATAAAATAAACTAGAAAAAATAAATTAAATAAAACAAAATAAAATCAAATGAAATAAATTAAAACAAAGTAAAATAACAGTAAATATAATACTGTAAAATAAAATGAAATTAAATTAAAGAAAATTAAAATAAAATGAAAAATAATATAATTTAAAATATAATAACATACATTAAAGTGCAAATAAATTAAATGAAATAAAATTAAATAACCCAAAATATATTAAAATAATGCAAAATAAAGTAACTTAAAATTAAGAAAAGGTAAAATAAATAATAATTATTAGTAGTATTATTAATATAATTAAAATTAAATTATATTTTATTGAATTAAATAAAAGTATATTTAATATTTTTTAAATTAAATTTAAAATTAAAATTAAATAAAAGAAAATAAAATAAAAACCAAATATTATAAAATAAAATAAAATTATATTAAAATTGCATTACATTATATTAAATTAAAAAAAATAACACAAATAAATTAAATAAATAAATGTATTATTATTTATATAAGTGATATTAAATAAAATTATATTTTATTCAATTAAAAAAAAAATTAAGCATTTAAATTAAATTAAAATTAAATAAAACAAAATAAAATAAAAACCAAATATTATAAAATAAAATTATATCAAGCTAAACTGCATTAAATTATATTGAATTAAATACATAAATAATTAAATATAATGAAATAAAATTAATAAAAGAATTATATGTAGTTGAATTTTCAACTTTCTTAAATCTTCAAGCACAAATTAATATAAAATTAATTAAAAATTATTTAATATCAAAATTAATTAAAAAAGCAATAAATAAATAAATAAATAAATGATTTGTGTAATTATTGTAAGTGTCAAAAACATTTTAAAATTCTTTTTGTCTGTCATGTATATTTAATAATCTTAACATATGAATTTAGTTCTTATTCACTGCAAACTTACACTGCACTTTGGGACAAAATCTTGAACGCAGCGCCCTCATAGCTGAGGATCGCATTTATATGGGTGATTTCCCACCACCACCTTACAGTATGGGCAACGGAGATAATAACTACGACTACGCCCACCACAATAATTATGTCAGTTTTCCGCCCACCTATAATAATGGCTATCATCACAGTGCATCTGCAACAGCATCCAACATTCAAATGCATCCTTACGTCGGAGTAAATAGATTTTCAAATTATCCTAGTTATACATTCTTTAGTGGTCCATTACAAAATTATCATAACTACGGCCTATCAACCACTTACGAAGGTAGTGATTTGATGAGCAATGGCAACTTCCCAATTTCCTACAGCGCTCATCGTCCGATGATTGGTGGCCTTTATGCGAATGCAGGTATGACTTACGGTGGAGCAATCAATGGCATGCCCCCCTATATAGTTAACGGTAATTTTAACAGCTACAATCCATACAATTCAGTGGGTACTATATATCCATACAAGTGATATTTTGAGTTATGAGCGTACTCACAATACGTGAACGCATATGTACATATGTACATATATATTATTTATTTAAATATTTGACTTGAATTTCAGATGTAGTATTTACTATCTATCGCAAGTAAATTGTGTGAGGGAAAAATTTAACGAAAATACAAATATGAGAAAAATATATAATAAAAAATTCTTTTTTTATATCTTTTGTAAATCATACACACTTACATACAAAGTCATGTGCAAGGTTAGTAATCTGTAGCGATGAGTTGAAGATATGATTCATAGCAAAAAGAGCGAAACCGGTTGAGGTGTGTGATAACGAAAAGCTCGTGAAGCTCAGTTGTAGGTGACATTGGCGCACACTGGCTGACACAAAAACAGTTACGCATAATCAAATAAGCGGACATATAGCATGTCAATAAGAGATAATCTTCTCTTTAGATTCTTTAAAATCCAAAATAAATAAGAAAAAATATTTTGATTAATTTTCAATAGTGCTAAATCTAAAATTCTACAAACTAAAGACAAGAAATAGCCAAAACTTAAAACAAATAGCCCAAAAACTTTGCTACTCAGCTGATGCCATCTATATCAGGGAGCGTCCATGAGCCACGTAGCTCGACCCAGAGGGAGAAGGGTTAGTTGAAATGTTACCTTTTAGTCCCGTAACCGAAGGAAGAGATGAGCTAAAAGGATAATATAGATGAGCTAAAAGGATAGTATATAGTTAACATTCCTAATAAATGATGTATTACTTGATACTAGATTTTGTTTAAGTCGTATTATATTTAAGTAAATATGTAGTAGGATACGAAACGAAACGCTTCATCCGAAATGGAAGAGTAACGTAACAAGAAATACCACATATTGGGTCCTAAAATATGACCACGTGGTATATGGAGTATTCCTAATGATAGACCCCTGTATGTATGTAAATGAAAAGTTATCACCCCTCGACAATGCCATTATGTTTGTCCTGTAAAAACCAGCGGCGGGTTTTTGATTATTTCTATAAAATCGACTAAGCAGATTGCTCTCTTTTGTACAGGGTTGCCAGTATAGACTTTTCTAAATAAATTTCAATGAAATCTATTTTATTTTTTCAAAATAAATGAAAACTGAAATCGTAATTATTTATACATTTTTTATTCAATATACGTGTACTTAGTTTACATTTGACGAATTGATGAAATTTATTGAAGAAAAGTTAAATTTGTTTAAAAGTGTTCAAGTACAACATTTCGGATTTGTAAGTTGCAGTAAGCACCTTTGACGGTATATCCCTCTTTCGGTGTTACGGCTGGGAGGTATGTAAAATGGCTAGTTCGGCTATTACGTACAGTGCGGGTAGAATGTTGAGAAACAAACAAAAGAATCAATGCTAAGGACAATTCTAGAGAATTTGACTGCACTGCAAGACTCTTCATTCATTGCTAAACGGGGAGAGTAAACCATATTAATTTCAATTTTCAATTCAAACAAAATTTTATACAAAATTTATTTGTTTTAAAATTATGCAATCAATTTTATTGAATTTTTATGAATTAGCCATTAAATCAAACTCAATAATAAAAAAGTTTTTAAATACATTTTCGATTTGCACGACAAATTAATTCTGCAATATTTTATCTAATCTATTTTTAGTACTCTCAATCTTAAAACAGTGACACTCAATCAGAACAGCTAATAAGTAGTGCTAACAAAGCTTTCAAACTGTCTTTGCTTTGACACTTGCCAGCGTACTCAATTCAAGTTACACGTTGGACAAAAGAGTTTCACATGGGGATGTAGCTCAGATGGTAGAGCGCTCGCTTAGCATGTGAGAGGTACGGGGATCGATGCCCCGCATCTCCAAATAATATTTTTGATTTTTTTGATTATTTATTTCTTTAGTTATTTTTATTTTTTTATAATTTTTATTTTATTTTAAATTATATTTATTTTTCAAGTATTTGTGATGTAGTTTTAAGGGCTTCTGAAGACAAAAGCAATGTTTGAGTAAAATATTTTATTTTTTTCTAAAAAAGAAATTGTTGAAAAAATACCTTATCCTCCGCGAATAAAGTCATGTAAACTCTTAAGAAGCAAAAGCCAATTAATTAATTCATTTTTTTCTCATTTATTAAAAACAGTTAAACCCTTAAACACTATAATAATCAACAATTATTAATACTTTTAATTTTTGCATAACGAATACTTTAAGAAGAAAAGAAATATGGTTAGCATGAAAACATTTTAACCATAATAACTACCACCAAAACCGGGATAGCCAAATCCAGGACCATAAGGAGAAGGTGGTCCATAAGGTGAGTATCCCGGATAAGGTACAGGCACTGGATACGGATATGCGCCAAAACCGCCGCCACCACCACCACCAATTGGATTGCGATTTCTGCCAGTTAAAGCGCCAATTAAATTACTAAAGAGACCACCGCCGCCACCACCGCCGAGAAGACCGAGTATGCGATTATTTGGATTACCACTGGTGGCAGATGCTGGAGAAACGCCGACGCTCGGAGCGCCTGGATAATTACTACTAGCACCAAAACCACCATTACTCAGACCAGCTGCCGCAGGGTAACGACTGCCAGCGAGGCCAGCATCAATGTTATTCGGATTGTTTATGCCATTATTTGAGGTTTGTGCCGGTTGTCTGGGAAAACGATTGTTGCCGAGTGCTGATTGCGAACCGGGAAAGCTGAATTGGGCTTGAGAAGGTACACAGGCCAGCGCTGAGAGTACTGTCAAAAGGATCTGGGAAAACAAAAATATGTTGATGAATATTTATATGCCGCTTTATAGTATTTTTTGTAGTAACTTTTACAGGCAATTTTCATACGAATTTATACTTACAAAGGATCTCATCTTTGTGCTGATCTTTTTTTATAAGTATATGATTTTAAAACTTTCAAATTCTGAATGAACTCTTCTTAGCTAGTTAAATGTTTATGCTTACTGTGCTATAGCGTTTAAGTTTATATACTAAATTCTTAGTGGTTCATACTACGTTGTAACGCCCACTCATACAAAACTGCTTTATTATTTTACCGTAAATAGTTTAGAAACAAAATAACAAATCTTGACAAGACGGGAAGTAAGAGAGAATTTTGCGCATTTTGCGAATTTTCGCAAACTATCAAATTTACATAAAAATAAAAATTTCATTCTAATTCTGACAGCGCAACAGCTGACCTTAAACTCGTGATTTGAACTTTTAATCATAATTTTTGGACTTTTCGCTTTTATTCAGCTAGTTTGTTGGTCAATAAACTCGCGCGATTTAAGAAAAAAGAGTTAATATAAATTTAAATTCATTAATTTAATAAAAGCGTATCTTTATGCAAATGAGCACAGCTGCCGATCACTGGGAGTCAACAATTCCTCCTCCAAGTTCCACGGTTTTGTTTTATCGATACACACGTGAGCTGGCGCGCAAATCAACACAAGTTTTGGTAAAAAAGCTTTAAAATAGTTTTGTTTACACACACACACACACACAGAGATACATACATTTATTATGAATATTTTTATATTATATATTCTATATGCATTTATTTCATATTTCTTTTCCCACTCTTTTATTGATCTTCTTTTTTTTTAATAAAATACTTGTAAATGCCTTGAAAATGTTTACTTGTTGCTTGCTCTCCACATTTGTATGAGACGCAAAGCGACCTATTCATACCATACTCCAATCTTCGATCTCCGAAATTCAATCGAGATTTTAATTTACTTTTGTTGATGGTTTTCTGGTGAAGAAAAAAAAAAACAAGAAATTTTTAGCCTCAGCTTGTTTTGGATTTTCCCTTCGCTCTGCTGTTTGCATGCTTTAGGTCACAGCATCGGACATCAACGCTTATAAAAGTCCATACGCAATTGGTATGCAGTTTAGTTATAAATTTGATATATCGTGCGATAGTTTGTGTGTGATTCAAGTAATTATGGGAAATTTCGTAAGTTGACCTTCATATGTTTTTTTTTTTTTTTTGTTTTTTTTTTTTGGTGAATGACAAGTGCATATAAAATTCGTTGTTTTAAATGTATGATTGATTGTTGGGCTCAATGAAAAATTGAGATGAGTTTTTAGTTAAGTGTTTGCGAGTGCATAAGTTTAGTTATTATATTTAATTAAAAAAATATGAAATACAAATTGAAATGAAAATTAGTACATTTTACAGTGAAGCTTGACTGTTTCATATAATATTATATTTAAAATGGTTTAGTGGTGTCTATTGAATTGGAGTGATTGATATTTATGGTAATCCTATAAAGTCCGATGCGGTGATTGAGTTACTATATGTAGCACTGCTACATCAGACCTTTTGACTTTAATTTTTATTCGAGTATTTGTTTTCCTTACTTTTTTATTATTTACTTTGATGAATTTTACCAAAGTGACACAAAAGCAAAAAAAATGATGTAAGTAAGAGTTGTACCCATGCAATTTAGCCATGTTAGTTTGTTCATCAAAACATTAAAAAATTCCAATGTTTTTTCGTACTAAAAACTGTTTTTGGAAGCTTAAATATAAAACACTACTCTCTGAAAATTTCTTTTAACGCAATTATTTCCTTCCCTTTAAAAAAATTGCTGAAAAACGCCTTTTTCGGCTTCTAAATGAAACTGCTGCCTTAATCAGAGTTTAAGCTTTAGACATTTGAATTTTAATCGCTTTGGGTAGTTCTGCTGCAAATAAAGTTTTAGCAAGCCAAGTCCAGTGATTATGAGCTTCTGCTCCACTGCTATATCTCTTCCTTTGGTGTATATGTGGCCAGGAAATTTATCTCGCAATAAAGGCACCATCTTGTTGAAACCACATATTGTCCAAGTCGAGTTTTTCAATTGCGACAAAAAACAAAAACGCACCGAATTGACAGAGATAGTGTCGCTCTTGTCATTTCCAAAGAAGTAACATCCAATGAAACTCCTGCACAGTATGCTTTTTCTTAGTGTGTAATCGCCTCTCTTCATTTACTTGAGGACTTTCGGAGCCCCCAAGCCCGAGTGAGAAATGGGCTTCGTCGTTGAAGAAAATTTTACTAGCAAAACCGTCAACAACTGTTTATTGTTCTAGCATCCAATCGACATATGTATGGCATTGGTAATGGTTACCTGGCTTTAGCTGAGCTGGAGAAGAAAATCCCAGCTCTTGAGGACGAAAAATAAGGCACATTCGACTGTTCGGGTACACATTCACCTACAGTAGCGAGCAAAACAATATCTGTAACCGATCTAGTCATTTTTCAAATTTTTTTAAAATGTTCCCGTTTGCTTGTGAAGTTGGACGATTATGTGCTCCATAATCTCCTCTCATAGCACGAAACACAATTTTTGTATTAAGTTTTAAAAATCTAACGCATTGGGCGGTTGTCAAGTAATTTATTTTCATAAATGTCTGACTTTCACCTAAAACAAAACATTTTTGGTTCGACAGTTAAGATCGATAGATGAGGCCATGAAATGGATAACCCTATATACATATATTGATATACTTGACGCTATGTAATCACTGTTACAAACTCGACAAAAATCAAAACCCATCAACAGTTCATAGACGGTTCCGAATAAACTGTAGGTTCCTTCATTTATCGGACAAATTGGAGGAGGAGTTTAACCGTAATTTGTAAAATACATATAATATATTTCAATGTTGTTGCAATCTCTAAGTGACCGTAACTGGTTTCAATATGCACTGAGTATCGTTGTATCATACGCAAAAGTTGATGCAAGAAGGTTTCGGCTTATGGCCAGATCGCTAAAAAGAACTCCCATCTGGAATATCGGAAAATATTTGATAAGATTTGTTATGTAACTTTTTGATCTAACCCGAAATTATCGGTCAATAAGGAGCCTTGTACTGTACCTTTCTTTAAACCGAATTATCGGCATGGTATCGCCCGACCTTTGAAGGTGATACATTTGCAACTTCCTAATGAATGGAAATGAAAAAATTAAAACCGGTTTTGTTTGAGCGTTGTTGAAGAGGCATGAGGTCTGGCGTTATATTGAGGGCACCTTTTCGATTATCCAGTTAAGGACGTTTTTTCTTCATCTATTTATTTATTTTCTATTGTTGACTGTAGAAATAATCTTATTTTGATGAATATTTGATTTGGATGCGTTGTAGTAACTTCTTGCTTGGTTCGTAATCGTTTTTGAACTACGTTAACGCAAATACACCATTTTTCCAACCAGTATTCTTCCAATGACTCCGACTATGATAGTATGAAGTCTGTTATCGGGAACAGGGTACAATGAAGTAAGCTACATAAGTACTATGCGACTCTCATACTTAAATACCGTACAAATATGACACGCCTTACACAAACTGACGTCATGACTTGTTAATAAATTAAATTTTATAATTTAAATTTTCAATAATTCAATTTTTTTCCGCAGAAGTTATCCGGCTTTGCGGCTCTGCTGCTCCTCGGCGTATGTGCTACACCCACAAGAGCTCATTTCAAAAAGTTCGGTGGCTTTGGTGGCGGTTTCGGTGGTGGTTTCGGCGGTGGCTACAGTGGTGCCTATGCCACTAGCAGCGTGGTGAACAATTATCAAGTAGCTCCCGTACCTGTGCCAGTACCTGTGACAGTACCACAACCTATTCCAATACACATTACTAAAGTTGTACCTGTACCAGTGCCCGTGTCGGTGCCTGAGCCTGCTTGGCCCAGCGGCGGTTGGGGTGGCGGTTATGGCGGTGGGCAGAGTTTTGCAACTGCCTCCGCTTCGGCATCAAGCTTCGGTGGTGGCTATGGCGGTGGCTTAGGCGGTTTGGGCGGCTACGGTGGACATGGTGGTGGCTTTGGTGGTTTTGGCAAACATGGATTTGGCGGTTTTGGTGCGTGGAAACGTCGTTAATTATTTTTAGTTTAATTAAGTTTAAGACCATTATTTTTTTGTAATATTTATTTTTTTTTTTGGCTTAATTGTTAAATACATTTATTTAAAAATTTAAATGTGGTTGTTGCTTTGTTTTCTTTACTCGCATTGCGAATGTACAAAGCGTCAGTGCTGTGCGACGTAAACATGGAATTAAATGAACCGTTATACAAGATGTAACTTCAGGCGTCATTTAATCTGAAAGCGCTTCAATCAAAAAGATTTTTAGATACAAATACACAGGAGGCGAAGTCTTGACAATTCACTTTAGTTTTCTGTATTACTTCGAGGCAACGACATGGAATTTTTAAACGGCAAAAGTCTTCTACTACAGGTAGTAAATTTTAATTTATGGCTTTCTGATGGATTTTTTTCTTATTTACCATCATATTTGTCACTAACTGTCAATTTCTTTTCGTTTAGTTTATTTTACTGCTATTTTCGCTTTGCATCATGCCTTCTGCTACAAATTCTGCAGATGCAGGTGAAGTAGCGTCATCATCTGAGGCTTCTGGTGATCCTGAGGCTCCACCTCCACCAAAGCGTAAATCATTTTTCCTCTTCGGTGGATTTTTTCAAAGAATTCTCCAACGCTGGTCAGGTCAACAACAGCCCAGTGGACCCGTATATGCTGGACCAGATTTTCCATTCCTTGCGCCGTTTGCGTATCGCCCAATTGCTTACGGAGTGCCTGCTATTTATTTGCCCAATTCTCCATATGTACCATCTTCTGGACAACCACAGCAGCAACATCAACAAAATCAAGAAAATAAAATAATCATCTTGCATACAGGACAAGTTGGCCAACTAAGTTCCTATTCACATACGCTTCCATATCATTCATATCCACCATCTATTGCGCCTGCACAACCACATGTGCCCACTACTCTGCCAAACGTTGGACAGCAATATGCGCCTTATGCATTTAATGGATATGGACCTGTTATCTATAGTAACTCACCTGTACCTGCTTATAGTCCGAACTATATGCCTGTTCCTGGCAGCGTTGCTCATAATAGACCCGATACAGTTGCAACAGCAACTGCGGGCGTTTCAAGTGGGTGCACTGCAACGATGAATGCTTGCAATTTTGGTTAGTCGTTCTATTTTAGATTAAATATATACATACATACATTTATTTTTAAATATTATAATTCAGTACTGTTCATTTATGCATCAAAATAATATAGAAACCGCTGAGTCACGTGCATACACTTATATAAATATATAATAATTCATCTGCCGATTAAATTACATGTTTCATACGGCTTTTGATAAGGTTTACGGCTTACTAAAGAGCTTGGAGAGATTAAATTTTAATAAGATGTTCTCTATAGCCGAACCAGCAAAAACTTAGCGACTCGGCTGATACAAGCTTTCTTGTGCGATCGTCATGTAAATGAAACTGACGTTTGTACCGTAGATTTTCCCATAAAATAGACTTTCTATTGTAATAGGTTTTATAAATACATTTGAAAAGAACTAAGGAAATGCTATTATTTTATTATTTTTTAAAATTAAATAATACTTGTGCCTACGTTTGCCCTTTCAGTCAAGATGGGAGGTATTGGATGAGTGCATAAGTTCGTGCCCGATTTCAAGTGCAAACTAAAATTGAAATTTTTTGAAGAAAGCGCTTTTATTAATCAATTATGTATTCGCCATCATGTTCGGCAATCCACTCCCAACGTTCAACCAATTTACGGATGCCTGATTCATAGAAATCGCGCGGTTTCTCGTTGAAAAAGGTGTCAAGGTGGTTTTTGACGTCTTCCACATTTTTAAATTTTTTTCCATTCAAATTGTTCTGCAGCGATCGAAACAAATGATAATCAGAAGGTGCAATGTCGGGTGAATATGGGGGATGCGGCATGATTTCCCAATTCATCTCCTTCAGTTTGGCCAGGGTCGGTTTTGCAACATGTGGCCTGGCGTTGTCATGATGGAAAAGAACTCCTTTGCGATTGGCCAAAATCGGACGTTTTTCATCAATTGCTTTCTTCAATTCGACCAATTGCTGACAATACTTGTTGGCAGTGATCGTTTCTCCAGCTGGCAAGAGCTCAAAATAGATCACGCCTCGGATATCCCACCAAATGCACAGCAGTACCTTCATCGGATGCAATCCACCTTTCGACATCGGTTCCGCCCCTTCGTGTGCCTGTTTCCATGTTCTTTTGCGTTGAACATTGTTGTACAGGATCCATTTTTCATCACCAGTCACGAGCCGATCCAAAAAAGGTTCGTTTTTGATCCGTCGAAGCAAAGAAATTGCTGTTGACATACGGTCCACTTTGTTTTTTTCACTCAACTGATGTGGCACCCATGTATCGAGCTTCAAAGTGTACCCAACCTTTTTTAAACGACGAAACGCAGTTGATTTGTTGACGTTCAATTCACTGGCAACCTCTTCCGTCGAAATACGTGAGTTATTCGCAACTAAAGTCCTTAGAACATCGTCATCAAGCTCAGAAGGCCGTCCACTGCGAGGTTGATCTTCGAGGTTAAAATCTCCAGAACGAAATTTCGCGAACCATTTCTTTACTGTGCGGAGTGCTGGAGCACGGTCCAAATAAACTTCGCGAATATCTTTAGTTGCAGCGCCTACTGTTTTTCCTTTGCGGAATTCGTCTAACATAATATGACGCATATTATCTTTTTCGTTGTCCATCTTCCATGCGTCTTTTCACTAAGCAATCAAATCAAAATGAAGTTATTTTATGCTTGAATTACAGTTCACGAGCGCCACTCTCAAGCGATTCGAACGGCATCCAGCGAAATCGGGCACGAACTTATGCACTCATCCAATACATATATAAAATGAGCTGTTATTTAACCAAAGAAAAAGAAGGTACACAATCAGAAGCTCATAGCTTGAAGTAGGTTTCATAGAAAGTTCGAAAAAATGGGTATGATTCCAACATACGACGCTGCCCCACTCAATTTTTTTTTCTTGTTATGGGTATAACATGAAATGGGTTCCATGGAAATGAGAAAAAGTTATTGGCTTGAGGGGAGCTAAGTAAGGAGGATTCACTTATTTTAATACATAATCATGCATAATTCCTTTTATACAAACCGATTTTGGTAAGTATTTCTTAATGGAAAGAGGTACACCCTGGTTTAGTTCTAAACGAGTTGGGTAAAAAATTCTTGCTCAAAGGGTACGAACCACTTCACTTCACCATGAAATGCTATTGTAATAATTTATCTCTCATTAGCCAAGATATGCTATGAAATTCGGTCGCCCATGAAATTAAAAAATCATAATTATATCTTCAAAAATAGGAATTAGTAGAATAGAACCACAAAAAGTGTACAAAATTGAGTCGCCGAATATAAAAAAAAACCAGATCACTAACATTTTCGAGTATTCGGCCTTCAGCCGCTTTTTGACATGCTCGCAATATTTACCATTCATCTCAGCCATATTTCATACCATGTCGAAGCACGAATATCGAAGACTAAATGCTGTAGTACTCCTATTTCCTATGATTTTTATTGACTATGCTAATTCCTGGATACGAATGTATAACACCGAATTCCGTGCTCTTTTCTTGATGAAGTTATGACGCACAACCTCATACTTGAACCAATCGGTGTCTGATGTCGAAAATTTCTATACCTTTTTGCCAATCATTTTATGCTCTTTCATGCTTTTTTGAGAAATTTATGACCCAAAATCTCAAATCCATAGTGATCCGATCTGGTCGGTTCCGATAAATGATCGTTTAAATGGTTCAAATATGTCAAACCCTGAGGAACCAGTTTGCTTACTAACAGACGGACAGCCGGACGTGGCTAATTAAACTCAACTCGTCTATATTTATGATGAGAATACTAGTATAGATGCTTATGGGCTTTTGTTACTTATTCATACATACATACTGCGGACCAAAGTTAATATTAATTTAAACACTTTTAAGTTGCTTTACTAGTATTTTGCTTCAATTCCGCTCTCAGTGATATCACATTCAACAAAAACACCTTACTTGAAGCCATCATGGTGTCATAAAGTCATAGTTATTTTATACATATGTACGTGTATGTATGCTTATTAGTTCATGTTTATACATCAGCACTATCACCCATTAACATCAGTCAACAATCGAAGTAAGAATACTTGCAACTTCTTTACGCGTTTTATCTTAAAATGGAAGTTCTTCCAACGAAACTTCAAATTGAAACAAAGCAATACACCTTTGGACCGACCATTGGTCAATAGTCACCACTCAACTTTACGCCGTATAGTGGAACCATGAGCTACCAAGCCAGCAGCAGGAGTTGTATGAACACACTTACAGATGAGTAAATTCACAGCTGGTCAACGAAATAACCTTTTTACCGCCACCAACATCATTGCAGGCATGTGTAAAGAGCTTCAGTTAGCACAGTCCTAAATAAACATTTCCGAACAGACAAGACATAAGAAAACAATTCATTTTTAATTGGAAAAAAGCACCAGCAAGTGCAAAACTTTTTAGTTACCAACTCAATAAATGAGAGAGTTTGCGAGCTTTCACGCTGCGATGATACATCATCAATGTTATCAGTGCGAAGATGTGTGCTCGGTATCAAACTGCCAATACCAATGCCGCTGCTTGACCAGAAGCTCAATCACTTGAAAATTACAGTTTTTTTTTGCTATCATCTCAGTTCGTCTTCTACTTTATCAGTGCCTGCAATCTCCATAAAGGAATTTGCAACAGGAAGTAAAGCGAAGAACTCACATCTACATATCGTACACGTATGTGTGTAGTTACATATGTATGTGGCAGGTGTGGGCGAGCGGTTTGCTGCATGGGGATGTATGTTTTGATTTCATCATAACCCAAAATGATATAAGTGTTTGTTTACGATATGGAGGGAGGATGATGGCAAAATGGTACACACAATGTAATTTCTGATGAAGACCGCAACTAAGTGCATACATATTACATATATACATACATATAATATATATCAACAACAATAGCAATAATGACAGATATGTATGTACATCAATAACAGCTGTAGCAATAGAAATAACAAATATACTTGAAATCTATCAGCAGCATTAACAAATAAAGCAAAGATAACTAAAAATGCCCCGAAGGATAATGAACGGACATGCGAGTGACCATGACTACAGTCATATGTACATATCACTCTCGCATATTGTTGCCTATGCGTGTTTGTGTGTATGATATGTATATAGTGTGTATTGACTAATATTGAGTTCAGCTTGTTATTATTATTATTTTATTATTTTATTTTATTTTTTTGCCTACTGCAAATATAATGATAACAATAATAGACTTGAGGACAAAAAAAATAGTTTTCCCCCCAAAAATAAAGAAAATATATAACAAAAAAATAAATAAGGATAGACAGTTAAATAAACAAATAAATAACGATAATATTAGGTGTAGTAAAATGAAATCCATTATTTTTGCCTAGTTTAACCTTGTCTCTTTGGGAAAAATGATTCCAAAAAAGACTCAAGAACAGTTGATATTTTTCGGCATTCTTGGACTGTGAAAGTTTAGTAGATCGTAGATAACTGTAAATAACTAATATTTGCTAAGGTTATTTACCACTAAATAATTTGCGAAACCCACTGCCTTTTGCATAGTAAATTAGGCTTGACTACAAGTACTCTTTTACACTCTGTAACCTTGAATTTGCATCTCATTCATCATCAATACCGCAACTCAGTGCCATTTATTTTAATTGTCATCTATATACGTGTATGTATGTTTGTAAATGCTTGTATATTTATTTATGTATGCATGTAAATGCATGCTTTGCACACTTGAAATATTTTATTTATTTAAAAGTGGCTGATACCGTTTGAAACGGTGATTTAGCAAAGTACAAAGTTACTGCCGCCTATTTTCCAACAACAATGTTACTCTGAAATGAATTCATTATTTTTTTTACAGATTTCTTCTATTGATTTGAAGTAATTTTGCTATGCATAGTTGTTGGTAGGGCACGTGTGTCGACTGGTAATTTAGCTGACTGTCTGTCTGGCTGCCTTTTGTCAAATAGCTGATTAGTGTGTGTTACGCATTATTTATTATAGTTGTTGAACAAGTACTGTTATGTGTGCATAA